TTATTTTTGTTGGCAAGCAGTCGGAAACCGCAGCAATTAACAAGGATAAGGATGGGGTGGAAAGTTGTGGGAGGGGGAGGGGTAAAATATATGTATGGATAGAGCTGGCCAGTCAAGTGGCCAACTTTGTTGTGGTGCTCGCAACTGGCACTTGCTTATCTCGCATCGCTGCATTTTCATAATAAACAAATTTTATTTTATAAATGCTCTCTCCAGCCCGGGGAAAAATGAAGTCATGTGGTCCGAGACCCTAAGCCCCCTTAAAACTCAGAGTGGTATATATACATATATATATAGGGGGGCTTGCCGACTGAGACGAGAACTAATGTGCGTTGCACTGGAAGACAATGGCAGCCAACCAGCCCTTGCCCCACTCCATATATCCTGGCCACATTCCCTCACAGTTGAGCAAGCAAAGCAATTATTTATATTTTTGGCTGAGCATTTCTCTCCTGCGGTTTTTTCTTTGGGCTCATGCTGCTGGTGGTGGAATCTTGGCCCACAGTCTCGAAATTAAAGTCACACATCGCAAGGAGCAGGACAATAAAAATGTGCAGGCCACGCAAAACGTGCCAGGACATATAAGTGGCCAGGACATCTATGCAGTTTATGGCCAAAAACGAAGGCCTGCCTGCCTGTATACTCTGACTTTGGCCCGAAAGTAGTTTTCATTGTTTTCCCTGCCTTTTGGTTTTATGTGCCATTCTGTCCTGTAGTTGTAGTAGTATTTGTCGTAGTAGTAGTAGTAGTAGTCGTAGTAGTTGTTGTAGTAGTAGTGGTGTCCTGTAGCCTGTGGACGACGTCTGTTTTGTTGTGGCCACAAGCAACAAGGACTTCTAATTAGCACACTGTCAGCGGTGGTCAGAGAAGTGGGATGAGGAAGGGCAGTGGTTGGCAGGACAATGAGACGACAAATGTGCTTAAATGGCCGAGTTGTGGACGCCACTAAAAACTCAACTAAAACTGAAATTGCACGACGAAAGGACGCGAAACGGAAACCGCAAACTGGCAAATGGCTGCCACTGCTGAAGGACATTACCAGCTCTTTGGATCCTCTCTCGCTTGCACCATACCTTTTTGTATGCATAGAAAGCGCCGGTTAGCAAAAAAAAGAAATGAAAAGAAAATCCTAAAAGAAAGAAAGAAAAGCCAGGTCCTCTAAGCGCCTGATGTCCTGTATTCCTTCGGCACGACCATTATTATGGGAATTTTCATTCTGCCCGCCTCGTTTCCACTCGCGTTTATTTCCATTTTGATTGCAGCTGCTATATGCTTTTTTTTCGTGTGTATTTCGGTATTTTTCTTCTTCTTCAGTTTTTTTTGGCGAGCTCCTGCCACTGCCCGCAAATGTATGCAACACATTTCGTATGCAATGGCCGCGGCAGCAAATCCGCAGGATCGTCAAGGGGGCTAAAGGGGGGCATGAAAGGTGCTGGAAAGGGGCGGGGAGGAAGCGGGGAGAGGGGCCACGACTGCCACTTCCGTGCTGGTCGGCGGAAATGGCGGCGTCAGGTCGCCAGCAACGACACCCAGGGCCAAAAGTGAAATCCGAAGCGCCGCTGGAAAACACATGCAATCGGCAAGGGCAGTCGCATGGAATGGGCAGTGGGTTAGAGCAGGACAGGATTGAAACCAGGGCAGGACATGGACAGGCCAGGGAAAGGGTTCCAGAGACGGCCAATTGAATGTGTGGCTCTGGTTTCAAGTGCCGCCACTCAACTAGCACTTATTGCATGCGACAAACGACAGCAGCAGGCACAGGACACGAATGCGAATGATGACGTCGGGATGGGCTATGGGCTATGGCTTGTGGAGCGGAAGGCAGGAAGCAGAGGCGGAGCATTCGGGCAGGAAGATGAGGACTCTGCTCCGGATGCGGCCGCAAACTTTTGTCGTTTTTTCAATTTCAATTTTTCACTGAAGTGCTCGTATTCGTACTCGTCTCGTTCTCTCTCTTTCACTATAGGATTATCCTCGCCTTCTCTGTCTGCACTTAAAGCAGTTAGCACGATGACCATCATCATTGGCATATCCATGTATGAATTCAAGCCCATTCCCAGGCACTAGGGCCATTTGCTGCATATGGTGCTGGTTGCAGGGCCAAGGCGTCATGTAATTGTTGAAGGAGCAGCAGAAAGAGTACAGCCAAAGAGGATTCGCAGGAGCAGTTTGCACATACACACACATTACGTATACGCAACGTTGCGATGGGGATTTTTGGTGCCTAAGCGGCCGTGAAGCCAGAAAACAAACAGAAATGCAGAGAAAGCCAGGGCCAGCACAGATTTAATAAAGTAAATCGAGTTTTCCGGGTACTCTAGGCATATCAAGTTCTGGTTTTCTGGGCTATAAGGAGAAAGGTCAAATATCAAGGTATTTGGAAGCTCAAAATGCCCAAGAAAGGTAATCAAGTCAGCAGAAAAGGGTCAAAACTTGAGATGAAATAAATATTTGAAACATTTTTACAAAAAAGAAACTTCTAATAATGTTTTTAACCTTAAATTATAGTTTCAAGCAAATATTTCCCCTTAATTAAAAACACTTTCCACGTCAGCTGCAAATCCAGACCAAAACCATTTCTCACACTTACCCTTATATCAATAATTTATATACTTTATCCAGTTAGCGAGTCCTGCCAACTTCTTAGTACTTTGGTAATACCCTGAAAAGTAACTCCCATTTTAAGCCTGGAAAAGCCCTAGGGATGAGATGGCTGATGGGGGATGGGCACTCACCTGGTGTCATAACTGCCAACTGCAGACGTTGGCCGGAGTGCGGTACTCCGTACGGCAGACTGCAGTTATTACGGCCGTAAGCGTAACTGTTATCTGTTTTTGTGCCCGGGCCCCCGTTTTTCGTGTTCTCGTGTTCGTGTTCCTGTTTCCATTTGGGAAATTTCAGAAGTTCGTTGATTCGTTTCTTCTACTTCTTCTTTTTTTTTCTGTAGTTTTTTTCCTGCTCCTCTTTTTTTCCAGGGCTGTGCCCGTTCTCTCCGCTCATAATTTAATATTTACAAAGTGGAGCAGAGCTGGCAACAGAAAACTGCAAAATAATAAAACGAAATTACCAAAGGGCCCCAGAGAGAGAGGGAGACAGAAAGTGTGTGTGAGAGAGAGAGAGAGAGAGAGGGGAGGGAACAGAGCTGGGCAGCTGCAGGAAATCTGCGCTGTGCATTAAAAAACGCTTAGGGCAGCAACTTTGTCGCCTGCCAGGCGACTGTCCACTGTCCACTGTCCACAGACCATAGTCCAGGGTCCGGAGTGTCCTGCTGCTGGCTGGCTGGCATTGTTCATTGACAGTTTGGCTTCCTCTGCCGAATCTGCGAGCTTCCTCTCTCTCGAGAGAGAGGGACCCAGTGTCCTGCCTCTGCCCCCTTCTTTTTTTGTGTGCCCGCTGAGCCTGTCGTGCATTTTCAAATTTGTTTGTTTTTAATTAATTGCACGCGGCGCTGGCGATGACGATGTGCTAGCCTAACAACAACAGCAGCAGTAGCAGAAGCAGCAGCAGCTCATATGTGACTAAAAAGAGTAGGGAAAATGGGATGGAAAATTCGGGGGAAAAGCCAAAAGGACTGCGTGCTGGACAGTGATTAAGCGAACTGAAACTCAGTCTGTAATGGCGTTGGCATGCCAGTAGATTTTAGATAAAGTCCCCAGCCTACTGGCTTACCCATTTTTTCACCCCACTGGGCGTGGCGTCGCCCTCAAGTATGCCATAAAAATGTTCGGACTTAATTTCGATTAATTTGCCAGAGTTTTCCCATTGTGTTTTCCCAACTCTCTCTCTCGCTGTCGGTTCTTTACGTTTTTTTTTTTTTGTATTTTGCTGGTCCCATTTTGGCACAATTACCAACACCATCAAAAATGAAATCAAATTGAAGTTTCCCCCTGTAAGAGAGAAAAAATGAAAACCCTTTTGCCTTGACAGCAACGATAGAGAGAAAATTTGCATAAATTTTAAATTTCAATTTGCAGTCGACGAAAAAATAAAGAAGAATTATGCAAGCCAAGAAAAAACAGAGCAGTTCGAGACATCTGCAGGAGGCAAAAAAAATGCCGAAACGAAATTAGCAGACAACAAAGAGACTCTCTATCGTCATCCCTTTCTTGTTTTTTCGTTTTGGTATTTTTGTTATCCTGACTAGTCAGGCGAACGAAGGACACCCTTTTTTTTTGATGTTCTTGTTGTTTTTTCTACTCGGCAGCTAACGCACTTTCACAAGCAAGATGATTGGGTCCGGTTGCCTTTTGCCTTCTGCTTTTTTGGCTTTTATCGAAGAGTGAGTCGTCGGTGCGTTTTTCAAACAGGTCCTATATATCCTTATGTCCCCATGTCCTGTGCTACACTCTGTGTGTGTCCTCTGACTCGCTTCTGGGTCGTTTTACAAATTCTTACACATCCGGAATGGAATCACATATGAGTATGTCTGTGTGTGTGTTTTGGTCAGGGTTATAACGGAAAAGGAAACAACTGGCATTGGCAGCCATACGACGTTAAGGATAATCGTGATGACAGCATATTTTGTTACCCACACAGTCCAGCTTCCGATTGTGGGAATATGGTGGGCTCTTCGGCTTTCAGTTTTCGTTAGAGTTCGGTTCCCTGTCACTTGGCTGTCTTTAAAATGACATTAAAAACGGCCAAATAAGCTTAGTGAGACATTCAGACAGTCACTTTTGACCCGAGCCAAGAAGGCGGAGAGCGAAAGAGAAATCGTGCTAAACTAAACGCAATTTAAAATAAATCACAACATGAAATGCTGAAAAAGCTACACCCATTTGGCTGTGTCTTACAAGTGGGCGTGGCATTCGGTCCTCGCCTCATGTGACTGCAGATTGATATATCTGTGAAGGGGGAGAGTGGGGGGAGGGGTTTTATTTTAAAAACTTGGGTGACAAATGTGAATTTTATGTTTATTTCTGAGAGGAGCAAAAGGACTGTAGAGCCAGAGAAAAGAGCTTAGTCTAATATTTTCTTTTTTCTTCTCCATTTATTTGCAGATGTCTTCGTCGCTCTCTCTCACTCTCTCCCTTTGCCACGCTCTTTTGACAAAGATGGAAAGATGGAAATCTTAATGCAAACGGATGGAAATGGTAGTTGAGGTAAGTGGCTGAGTTTCTTGGCATATTAAGTTTCCGCTTAGCCAGCAAAAGTTCTTCTTCATACACTTCTTGTTCTCCTTGTATGGGGACGTTAACCCTCTGATGGCAAAGGGTGGGGGTTCTTCTTCTTGTTCTTCATGGCGTATACGCAACGTGGTCTGACCCTATTAATTGAACGCTTGTTTATTTATGGGCCTCGTTATTTGAGTGCATTCAAGTGTTTTGTACTGCGAATGGCCACGCCTCCTTCTGGCCCAAACCAAGCCTTCCTCCCTACTGGGGCGGCGCTATAAATTGTTAAGTTTTATCAGCCGCAACAACAGGAGCAGCATGAATAATAAGGCAGTGCCACGCCCACTTTCGCATTGCGTGCTCGAGTCGAGAATACATGGACACGGATACTCACACATGGAAATCCCCATACACACACACACACACACACACATACGCACTTGCACGCACAATTGAAGCGGAAGTGCGCATTGTTTCCGCTTTTAATAAGAGTCGTTGTTCGCTATGTGGCTGCAACACGGTTCTGCATATGCTCGTGCATAATAATAAAGCATGCCGCTTGCCAAACTGTGGACGTGGATTGCGGATTGGAGAGGAGTAGCAGTAGGAGTTCGAGTTGGGGCTGGGGCTGGGGCAGGTTCATAAATTGCATTAAATTGCATTTAAATGTGTCGGACAGGTTAACAATGCGAGGAGTATCCGCCATAATTGATTGTAAATTAAACCTAAGTCCGGCTGCCAAGGCTCTTTAAGCCACTGCCCTTTGTGGCCCATCCTTAAATTGCCCGTAATTATTCGGGCATTTAAGCACTCGCCTCAGTGTCCCCCATTTAATTTCCATGCTTTTGAGCGTGAAATGGCCAAAAAGCTGGAGCTGACAGCCAAAATAACTAAAAAAAAGAAAGTTAAGTTGGGAAAACTAGCAATTTGCTGCGCTCTACAAGGCACTTTTGTCCTCGAGGGAAGGCGAGAAACTTTAATCTTATCCCAAGGAAATTTGCATTTCGCTTGGGTTTTTTTTTTTTTTTTGTGGGGTTTTGGTCTTGTCCTTGCTCCTTTCGGTTATGGCATGCCTGTCGACAATTAAACATATTCACCATTCACATTAATTGTGGCGAAAGTTTCGGCCAGAAACCACCAACCTGCTGTGCCACCTGCGGTGGCTGCCACAAGCACACACTCGGAAACATTCTCGTTTGTAGTGCCGCCGTTTGTAGTGGCGTATACTCAATTTCTTTCTTTTTTTGTCCTCAGCTGGAACTGACTATGATCTATGGCACTTGGCATGTGTGAAAGTGCGCTGGGGGCGGTAGGTAAGAGGGAGGGCACTGGGAGAAAATTGAGGTTGATGTAGAAAAGAAAGGCAATTAAATTATGAAGTATTAAATGAAGGCTTTTGCTTTGGAACTGAGAAACTAAAGACATAATTACATTTTTTAGAGTTTTCCTTACTGCTTAAAAGTGTGCTACAAAATTGTCTACAATTTGAAATCCCTTTGCCGCATCTTTACTGCCTAACACAGAGTCTTTCCCCGCAGTGCATCTACCCGAGGTAGATGACTTTTGTTCTCCACTTGATTAGCATTCGCCTTAGCCATTTGAGTCGCTTTGTGCTGGAGTGCAGGAGCGTGCCTATTGATGCGTGCTAATTGCGAGGCGACTCCGCATTGAAGTCCGTGCCAAGAATATCCTGGTGCGCCAGGATGCCACATTGTTATTTGGCCGTACTAGCTGGTGTGCATAACAAGGAAATCCGTTTCGAGTGCGAGTGGAGGCTGCAGTTGGTCTTTGTCTTGACGGAAGTTCTCGAGGGGCACCGACTGGCTTCGAGTGCTCTCTCTCTCTCTCTCTGCCTTTTCGAGTGTCCTGTCTGGCCATCCAAGCTTCTCCTACTATTTCCCAGCGATAGCTGACCCACTGCAGTTGGCTTATGGAGACTTCGAGCAGAGACTAAACCACTGACAGCACTTATCAAAACGTTCAATCAATCAATCAATTGTTGCCAACAAAAGGCCGTTCATGGAAGGACGAAAAAAATATCTCTCATACGCCCATTTGTACCGACAAAAAAGCAGTGCCAACCCAAATCAGCTTAGCAACAGAAAAAAAAGGAACCAACAACTGGGAAAAAAACAGCACCACTAATACAAAGGACATATGCCGGCCGACATGAAAGCAAAGCTCACTCCCACAGTCGTTGGCTGGCTTTTGTGTGGCGGCTTTTTATTTGTCCATGTGTTCTGACCCAAAGAGACCCGGTCCCGGAAAAGCCAAGCCAATGGACTGGCGGGCCAACAAATCAGCGCAAATCGCCCCAGACAAAAAGGTAGCAAGCATTGGGGGCGGTGCATGGGGGCAGTGGTTGGCAAAATCCTGGCAAGAACTGGCAACAAACGTGCAACATTGTCAACGGCATTCCGTATGTCACTGCAATCCAGAGGATGTGTCACCGGCAGAGCGATGGATTCCCCAGGACATGGCCCACCTGCAGTTCGTCTCGTTAAAGGACTGACGCCGTCTAATAAGCCAATTCAAAGGAGTTTCTTGGTATGAAAAATATAAAAAAAACAAAAACAAGCAAAGAGAAAAGCGCGATGGGTGTGGCAAATGTATATCCAATGTGGCACATCCATAAATTTATGCTTACACACATTTTGTCAAAACACATCTGCAGCATATTCACAACTTGCCAGATACTTTTCTGGCTCATCCAGCTTCTATATATGCTCATCCTCATCCTGCACACGCACACACTCACACATCATGAGATTGCGGCAGATATTTGCATATTATGTCTATATGCAAATGATGGCGGGGTAGCAAAAAGGAGCGAAGATGACGGCACACGCGGCATATACGTGCTGCATTAACATATCAATCATACGTAGCGTAGCCGCTCTCCTTCCGCTTCCGAGCAAACATTTAGCTGTAGATAAACGAGATGAACGAGTGTGTCGGCCATGATTTTTCAGGCCTCCAACGTGGCAAAACTTCTCCCATAAATCCGTAGTACTAGTATAACTCAACATTCAACCTGATTATCATTATTATTATTATTGTCATGCAGTTTATTGAAAAGTTAATTGCCGGTCGAGCGGCTGAATGCGATAAATTAATGGCAACTAACAACATTGTCAGCGATAGCCACTTCCTCTACGGTTGTCCTGCGTCGTGTCGACAATTGTAATTGTTGTGCTGATTGTTTAATTGCGGCCATTTTGTGATCAGTTTCCGTTTGCCACACACACACACACACATATACCATTCGATTGTGTACAAATAAATATGGGATTGTATGAGTGGCGGATTTTCCATACTATTTGGTTAACAAATTAGCCTCGTCGATTTCGTCAACATGCATTTAAATCACTCTCTTCACTCCCATTCGGACAATTATTATTATTTTTCATTCCCAATTTATATAACTATTGATATATATATTTATATCGCGTATATATATCCTGCGGCTGTGTTTCCATATTGATGCCATTAAATTGACTTTTTGCAATTGCTTTTTTGATATTTTCATAATATTTACGCATTTGTCGGGTCATAATTTGTGATCGACTGGCATTTTCCTTTCCTTTTTTTTTTTAAAGAGACAAAACTCATCCCATAGCTGGGTAACAAAATAATCGCTGGCAAAACATCTGTGACAACATGGCGTATGATTTATTTTGTGCGGGTCCCGCACTCTACATTCATTCGTGGTTATTGGCTTTCGCTTTAAGCCATGTTTGCTCTTTATTGGATTTTATTATGTTGCTAAAAAACCACGAAAGACCATTAATTGCATTTAATTAGAAAATATTGGCCATTAGCGGTGGCCAGCTGCAAAATTTATGCACATTGCATGCACTCTGCCGCTCATTTTTCAGCTCAGACGAGATGACATCAGTAGTAGTAGCTATAGTAGCAGCAGCATATACATTTCTTTGCCATGATTTCAGAGTTCACAGATGTGAGATTTTAGAGTCCAAAATTGCGTCATTCGCTTGCTTCAGTTTTCTCGCCGGCAAGAAACGAGTTTTGAGCTTGTTTCAATTATTTGCCACGCAAATACAAAAACCCATTTGCGGGCAGAGTGTTGGAAGGGGGTATTTGTCCCATTACCAATTAGATGAAATGGCTGAGCCCTGAGCTCACTCTCGGGCTTCCAATTTAATGAATATGTAATGGTGCTGGTGAAAAGAAAGTAAGAAAAAACCCAAAGTTTCCGTTTATCATCCCCTATCCCCCCTGCAAAACTTGCTCTTTCTATAACAAAGCTTTATCAGGCTGACTGCTATCTTCTCAGAGATTTTCTTCTGATGCTGCTGGCAGCTGCTTTTCCTTTTTGAGTGTAAATTTTTTGGCAATCCCAGGCACTGCTCCCTCACGCTTTTCAATCTCAACTTGTAATTGACGCTGTACTTGGCGAGGCTGCATAAAAAATAATTTGATTATTAACTTGGGTCGTCGAGTAGAAGAGCAGGAAGGGAATTTAAATATTAATTGAAACAGCTCGGAGTGGGACTCAGTCCCGCAAGGACTTGTTGACTCGTCCGCAGGCTAATCCTCGACTAATCTGGGGCCAGCTTTACGCTGGCCGTAGAAGACCCTTTTAAGTGGCAGTGGATTGTCCAATCAATTAGTGGCAGGCGAATTATGTTGCATTTAAATTTGTCCGACCGTGGCCAAGATTTATGCGGCTCATAAATGTCAAAGGCAGCAGGACACGCACCTCGTTTCGCACAATTAATCTTGTCGGTGTCATATATATATATAGAGATATATGTTGATATTGTTATATATGTCAGAAAGGGGGCGTAACCGAACCACAAAGTCAATAATCGCCCATCACCTGCTGTGGGAATTTGGACAGTTGTGTGCCGCCGCCGGGGGGTGTGAGAAATTCTAATAAAATAATTCATTTAAAATTTACAACTCACTGAAGCCGAGAGACTGAAAAGAAGCCATATGTCAATTGCAGTTGCACACGGTCGCATAAACAAGATGGCAGACATAGTCCTTGCCCAGGCAGATCCTTTCGCCCAATCCCAAAACCCCAAGCCCAAACCCAATCCCTTTCGCTTTGGCACACAATGACATGTCAAGTGCAAAATGCAAAACTGGACGCCACAGAACTTTTCGCCAATTGTTCGTCCTCGTTGCTCGGCCTCGCCCCTTGTCCTTAGCCTAACGTCCTTACCAATTCCCCTCCCTTGCCCTTGTCGTCCTTGCTGCACCTACAACTTCCGGCCTTTGTTGAAATAACCATAAAATCAAGATAAGTTATTGGATTTGCTGGCAGGAAGCAGGAATAAGCACTTATTGCCTTTGCCCTTCTGGCCCAGCGACTAGGCCTCCTCGTCCTTTGCTCGTGCTCCTCCTCCTCCCTCTTTTTTTTTTTGGCCTCCATGTCCTTGCCTTGTGTCGTAGATTAATTGCTTTTTTTGGGGTGAGGCCAGGGCCAGAACCAGAGCCAGAACTCGACTCCTCGTGACTCCTGGGAAAAAAACATTTTTGTGTAATATAAATACGAATTTTTTACTTCCTACCCTTGCGCCTGTGAACTTTTGTGTCCCGACGATTGCCCAGGCCAGTTCCCACTGCCAAGCTCCTGTTCGAGATCCTGGTCCTGTTACTGGTAACTGTAGCCACCCGTTTTCCAGCTGGCTTTTCCCTTTTTGTATAAATAGTGACGCTCACAATGCCGCAGCCAGCTCAGTGGGAATGGTAATAGTGAGTATGGTGGTTCACTGTGTCTCCACAGCTGGAGGCGCCACACAATCAGTTTTCACAGTTCGCACTTGCCTAGGTCCTTTGGCCCTCCTCTTAGCCCCCTTTGCTCATGCCACTCCTCCTGTTCCTGCCGCACTAATGCGATTAAGCCGCTTGTTGTGGCTGTCAACGCGTTGACTGGTCTACTCCTCCCCAGCCACCTCCTGCTTCTCCGTCTCCTTCTTCTCTCGCAACACCCTCCTGCCACCTTCTCCAACTGCCTTTGTAATTCACTTAAGTGTGGCACTTTGGCCTGCGGTAAACGCCGTCCATTGTTGCCCCACTGTTCTCAGGCACTGATCTCTTTAGCATATAACCAGAGGCCAGAGAGGTTTACCTTTGGCCAACTCTCAGATTTTCGGCTTGGCTCTGGTTTAATCATAAATTTCCAACTGGATCTCAGTTGCTATTGTCCACTGAAAGGCCACGCCCACTTTTTTGGAATGGGACGCAGCAAAGCCAAGAGAACTGCTGTCAAGTGGACTTAACCTCTTAACTACATTTTATTTGATGACATTGTGGCGTGTGGCCAGTTTAATCACGATATTACTGCCATAAAGATTGCGAATGCGGGTAAGCCAGCCACTTGAACTCTGTTCGTTCACTTAGAAAAATGTTTTGAGAAGCTTAGACAAATATGTCTACAGAAACATGTATTTGGTTAAAGTAGCTTTAATTTAAAAGTCCTTAAACATTTTTTATTTTTAACTTTAGAACTAAAATTTTGAATGAAAATATTCCACCGGTTTATCAAAAACTTTACTCTGAATTTTTGCAAGACTAAAAATCGTCCAAACATGGAAAGTTATGTCATGTTGAATTCGTAATTAAATTTTTAGTCGACTGGTACATCTCAAAAAGCGGTTTTTTTTGTCATTTTTCAGAAAAATTGATGATTTTACCCCTTGCAGAAAATGCGAAAATTGGTCAATCCCGAGTTTTAGGCCATACCAAAGCCAAAAATGGTCGGAATATGGAGTTTTATACCTCCTTGAGCTTCTACATTGATTCTTATAAAAATTGCATTCACACCTTGAAAATAAATTTTTTGGCTATTTTTTCGCGAATAATGATGATGTAACCCATTACCAAAAATGCGAAAAATGGTCAAAAATGCTTTTTTAGAAATCTGTCGGAAAGTGATAGAAGAATGGTTGTTACCTGCAAAAAGCAGTCGTTCTTTAAGCTGCATTTCATGTTTTGTCAAAGTTATAGATTTAAAACCTCAAAAATATTGCAAATATCGGTCAAACAAATAAACCTTTCAATATCAGTTGATAATAAAGATTTATTATAAAATTCCCACCAAGAAGCTTTTATTTTCTTAATGAAATTAAAGTATTCCCGCTGAAAAGGCATAATAAAACTGTCAGAACTGTCTTTTAAGCCACTAGCTGGCACGATATTAAATAAATGCTTTCCATTTTGATTGCCTTTTTTTCCGCTGTTCCACTTTTCAATAATCCCTACTGGGATTTAGCATAGGACATTGCAATTATGCACAAAAAGAGATTTGGGGGAAGGACGCCATAAAAAGTAACAGCTGAAATGGTGGCAAGTGTCACAGTTGGGCACGCCTTTTAGGAGACCCTCCATCTTGGCCTCATCCTCATGCTGACAGCCACCTCCTGTTTTTGGCCCACTCACGCACAGAGGCATGGCCCCGGAGGCAGGAAGTCTTTACGGGCTCACACGCTCATCAGGAAGCCAGGGCAATCAGGACATCCAGAGGATGAGGCGGAATGGCGACGGAATGGGAATGGAATGGCACCAATTGGAGTTTATTAATTTGAGGCCGTGCGTGTCGAGTTGTCGACTTGACTCGGCTCGGCTCGACTCGAGGTATTTACAATTGTTGTAAATATTTCCTTTATTATTGTAATTATATTTATGGGAATGCGAATGTAAATGGTCTTGGGGCTCTCATGACAATGTTGCGTGCTGTCCCCCTCTCTTAAAGGGAATTAGCAGCATATTAAACTGATTTTTATTGAGGCACTGGTGGCACTCCTTCAGTTGCACATGGACTGAGGGCAATTAATTTAACATTTGCAAATGGCCCGAAAGTATGCAACAATTGTGTAAATTCTGCTCATGAATATCAGCCCCAGCCTACCTAACTAATTTGTGGCCCTCTTCTCTTTTACAGTAACACACACACACACACACCCGCATACTTATACATTCTTGTGAGCCCAGGAACTTCCGGAATGGATGGCTTGACTCTTGAATCCTTCGTCCTGAACCAACTTGACTCCGGGATCTTGGCACAACTCGAGTCGGACGCTTCAGGTAATTATGCATATTTAAGCAGTTTTGTCTACAGTTTTACGGGAAGGCGCCTAAAAGGATGCTTTAAATTAATTATTTATGCAAGGTGGGGCCGACATATGCAAACATTTGTTCGCTTTAACCCCCTCCGCACTCACTCCTCTCGAAAGTCAGGTGCCTGTCAAGTGGACTCCTCCACGAGCAGGAAGCCATCCTGCTCCCGGTACGTTCGTCTCCTTAATGGGTTTATACTCGCATGCATTTTAAAGGAAACGTATGGCACATGGCAAAAGCTCTCCAGGATGGGTCTGCAAAATTAATAGAGGTTCCTGTTCCGGATAATTGCCATTCGGGCTCTTAAAGTTGCCGTCCAGGCCGCAGAATTAATGTCGCTCTATTAATGCTAATGTCAGAGCATCTTCATCCATCAGCGAGTGTGTATGTGTGTGTGTGAGTCCTGTCTCTCTACATTTGTCAATAGTCGGCTTTCTTGTGTATATATCTTTTGTATATATATATATATATCTTTTTTCGGACCGCTTCCTTTCACAGCCACACTTCAATACACAGCTTTGCTTTCAGCTTAATTGTTTTGCAACTAAACATCAGTCGGACTGCCTTTCATCCTGCTTTGCATTGTTGTCCGCCTGCCAGGACCGTTGCCTTTATTTTTCTTCTCTTTTCGTGATTCCCAGGACCTGGCTGAAAGTCGTGTCTAAGTAGCTTTTCTATAAATGACGGCATGAGGCAAACGAAATGAAACGAACAAATCTGTAGCGCTCTTTGAGAGACTATTAACTGGAATCTGGAATCGGAGAACATGGCAACAGAGAGGCAAAACCGAAAGGAGAAAATTCGTTAGGAAAAAACCCTTCACTAAAAGGCGAGGGTGTAAAGGGGGTTGTAAGAAAAAGCAGGTGGCTGTTAAGCTGTTGGCATGGCACGGACGTGATAGCTAATTAAAATGTGTTCAAGGCCAGAGTCCGCGAATTGAGTTTACAATTTATGCCACACTTTGCAAACTCAAAGGGGTTGTAAGTAGTCGAGTTACCACAACAACAACAACAACATCAGCTGTGTCGGGAGGATAATAAGCACGGGGAATATAATTCCGTGTATAATAGACATACTGGGTTTGGGTGGCGTTGAAACGTTATTTATAATAGAGATTTATTATTGCCGAGAGGCAATTAAATAACCAGGCGATGAAGATGAATTGTGGTGGGGCAAAAAGTTTTCGACTTTTTATTATGTCTGGGGAGCACAGCAATTTAAATTGTGTTCAGAAAGTGCAGCAATTCGGTTGGAATATAAAAGAACTTCGTAAATTATTACTAACCAGACGTGGCATACTTTTAGGCTTATTCATAATAATTACTGGTTGGTTATTTCCACGAAAAAGATATCTTTAATCCAAATTCCTCGAACTATACTTACCATAATTATAAATAATTAAATTCTTTGATAAAATTTTGGTTGGATTTTTGGCCATTTCTGGTCTTGGCCAACAGGAATTCAGACCACATACCACAAGATTTCTGTGTGAGAAATCGCCTGCTGCTTGTGGCAGGAATTATAATTCCCAATTCCTTGGTGGCAGCGAGCGAAACCAATGGTTAGACAATGGGCCACGTCGGAAATTAGCATAGTTTTTCGACGGCCAAAAGTTTTTCGATGTTTTTGCCAATTTCCGTCAACAATTTACGGCCCAACGAAAAATGAATTCCAACGAAATAGGCAAAACAGTCGGTGGTCGAAAAGTTTTCCGGCTATGCCATGGGTTAAACTTTAAAGGCCAAAATCGTGGATATCGAGGGCGTTTAATTTATTGATTCGGTTTGGGCCGCAGATAGACAAACTTCGGTGGCCAAGTGGATATGTCTGTGTATGTGTGCAAATTTATACGTTTGTCCCAAATGCCGAATCGAAGGGCTTAACGAGAACATCGAAATCAGCCCGCAAATGTGCGCTTAATTGAACTTTGAACCGAACACAGATCGAAATCAGAATCGAAATCGAATCGAATTTGAATGGCTCCCCCAAGTGGAATTTAAACATTCGACTGACTAAATAAACCCACCGAGGAGTTGAGGCCTAAGTAAATTTAACTGAAAAATCTACCCAAGTCCTGTCTCTTAACCATTTTGCCGTTGTCCTGTATTCAGGACTGTTGTGTGCTCTCCATTGTTTTGCTTGTTTTGTCCTCGCCTTTTGATAAATGTCCGGCAGCAGGCAGCCAAAAACAAGCACATAAATCACACGCATGTGTGGATAAGGCGGCAGGCGGTAGCAGGAGGATTTGGCCTGGGACTTGGACTTGATATATCCCCACATCCACATCCCAGGACGACCAAGTAGTTAAAGTTTGCCAGCCTGGCCGCACTCAAACATATGCGAGTGACAAGCCAAAGTCGGTAAACTCCATCCACCTCCTCCATCCCAGCTCTCTCCAAAGTACACAGAAAAAGCTATATTAATTCGATGTCGGAGTGACAACACTTATCCATTCAGCATTACCAGGTTTATATAGAAAACATATTGCTTTTGCTGCTTTTATAAAATATTTAATTATAAAGAAAAAATAAAGAGAATTCTAGAATATTTAGTTAATTTTTTTAAAAGTCTACAAAGTGTTCTGATTGGTAAAGAAATATAGAAAATCATCAGCAATATTTCGACAGCATAAAAGCAAATTCTATTTATTTTGATTTCAAATATTTCCAATTTAGCAATTTGTATTATTTTTTTGAATTTTTTTTTCTATCTGTGTAAAGCTTGGACCAGCAGGTTGTTCCCATGTAGATGTTATTAAATTTGTTGCCACAGCACAGATATGGCCACAGAATCGAGGTGGTCCGAAGGGGCCAGAATGTTGCAAAAAGCCAATTGATTTCAAACTGAAGCGACTCCACTCAACTGAACGGAGCTGCAACCGCAAAACACAAACACTGGCGCACACAGCAAAGTCAAATCCATAACCAAAAATCCGAGAGAATTCCGTCAGTCAGTCAGTCAAAAACGGCCAAACAATGCACAGCCACATGTCTCTGTCTCTGTTTCCGTCTCTTTCTTTTACCCTTACTACCCATCTCTTTCTAGTATAGCTGCTGCTGTGACCGCAAATGCCCGAAATTTATGCCAATATTTGCATTCAATGCCCAAAAATAAACCGTAAAATGGTAGCTGGCAAGCATGAGAGATGGTATGGCCAAAAAAGAGAGAGATGCAAGATGGAAAGAAAGGCCATGAAGTGTAAGAGAGAGCGTGAGAGAGAAAGAGATGGGGGAATGAGTCGAGTGTGCGGGCCAAATTGTGCTGCATGCTTTTAGGCGTTGCATCGAACAGGATGCCTTCCTGCGTTGTGCTGAAAATTTCATATTTATGGCTGCAGCCGAGGGTGTTGGTATTTGTGCATTGAGTGCAATAATTCAATTGCACACCTCCGCCAGAAGGAGGAGTGTTGGAGGTTGTGGCGGGAGGTCCTTCTGGTCAGCAGTTAATGCCCTGGAAAGGCGGACGTTTAAAGCGCTCGAATGAGCAGCAGCTCCAAGGATATACCATACACCATACGAACGAAACATACACAGAGAGAGATTAAAGCGGAGTTGGGCATAATTGGATTTGTTTAGCTGTCAATATTATGTCAGAAATCAACATGACCCGACAAATGGGCAGAGGAGGAGCCAGAGGAAGGCAACTAGGGCAGGACAGGCAGGCAAGCAGCAGGCAGATTGGATAGATAGATGGATGGATGGTTGGTTGGCTGGATAGATAGATAGACGGATGGGATTGATATATAGATAGACATCCGATATGAAGTCAGGCGATATTCCACGCTATTAACTGCCAGTGACGCCAAACAATTCGCTGGCAAAATGACACGAACTCCGCAAGAAAGGGAGGCGTGGCCCACATGCAAACAAGAATGGCAATCAAAAAATTTGACAACACTCGAGGCGGTTGATTCGTAGAGGGTTGGGTATAGTTGAGCAGGGGGTGTAAACAAATAGAAGCGGCTGCAGCTGACAGAAGATCGAAAAAGGACTCAGAACGATGGGATTTCATCCAAAAAGGACACTCCAGTCGAGAGTCCTCATACTGTTGACTCTATCCATTGAAATCTCCTCAAGCTTTCGTCTCATGTTCTCCGTAATACCATCATTGGCTCTTTTTGTTTCAATTATAAGTCCCCTTCCTCTACTACTCAGCTCAAAAGGCAAAGTGTTTAAGTTTGGGCTTATAACTACAGCAAAGAACACTTCAGCATTAGGAAACCGAATGCAGGCTGCTCATTAGATAGCTGGCACGGAGAGAAAACAGATGCCATGTCCTTTGTAAACAAGAATTTAAAGGGGTTTCCACTTTAAAGTTGTTACATTTGCTTAAAAACTTAGTTTATGTTCTGATATTAAACTTAAACTCAATTTCCTTAGTTTCTTCCCCATTTAAGTTCCTCTTAAGTTCCTTCTCCTTCCCATCTGAGAATTAAGACATATTTTATGCAAAGTTCCATCCTTGATTTACCACATATTTTTCTCTCTGCATGCTCGTTGGCCAAAAAACTGTGTTAATAAAGTATTTGCTCACTCGAGTGCAGCCGGCAAACACTCGCAAAGTGCGGTTGCCAAAGGGGCTAAAAGGGGGGAGCTTACCAAGTTGACTTTTGTAATCAGCAGGCGAGGATGCATCTGCTCCTGCTCCTAGCTGATGCTCCTGATGTTGTTGATGTTGATGCGAGGTCTGAGCACAAATATTCCGGTCTGACTGACAGACATCCGTGCTCATGGACACACACACACACATACACACTCGTATATTGCACAGACGGATTCGAGTTAAGTGCCTGACTTGGCACTGTCATAATTTACATATGCCAAACGGCAGCGAGAAGGGTTAACTGGGTTACCTGGGAGCCTGTGTGAAATATCCTGGCTGTCGTCCTTGCAGCAAATGCATGCCGTTGTGGCAGTTCCAGGTGCGCCTTTGTTTGAGGGCGGCTTTATTTATATGAGTGATTAGCC